ATTCCTGCGCCACGTGGCGGGCTGGTTTCAGCGGAGCACACCAGTATATTCAGGGAGGTGATGAAGTAGTTTTTTCCCTGTGAACTTTTTCTAGTCTAAACTCAAATATAATGTGAGAGAGAAAAATCATGGCAGAACATGAAGAAGTTTGGGACTGTTCTATTACAGGCAATCCTGTCCTCTTCTGATTCTTCCTGCTTATACTTTCTTTTCATTTGAGTACATCCTAGTGTGCCTCAAAGGTAACTGAGCAAAAAAATCAGAGACATGAACTATGTTTTGCTGGACCAGAGACTGAATGTTGGTTTCTTTTCTGTCTAAAGATTCACCAAGGAAACACCTCAAAAGCAAGGCACGTTGTGTCCATTTCCACTGTGGCAAAGCTAAAGAGAGAACACAAGTTGAAGTGAACCATCAAGTTGCAGCTGCTACAGAAGTGGATGGAGAAAAGCGGAAGGAGCACGGTGTCGAGGCAGCGGGTGCTTGTGCTCGGAGGAGCAGAAGGCACACTTCTGCTTGTAGGACTGCAAGTGCTGGGGAAAAAATAAGAGATCAAAGTCAGCCTTCATCTGGCAACAGGGACCACGGTGAAGGAACGGCTGTGCTCTCCTGCAATGTCACTTGTGCCGGTGGAATCGTGAGAAACTCGAAGCAGTGCGAAGCTGCTTCCAAAAGCAAAAGGCATCAGCAGAAATCCAGAAGTAAGGAGGTAAATGACGAGCGGTGCTCCCCAGCTGGCTCCAGTAGGCCAGGAAGTGCCAAAGCGGTATTTGTAAACACCAAAAACGACAGCGTGCTCGCTGTAGACCAAACGCACAAAGTGGGAAATAATGAGTTAGCAAAAAAGGCCTCCCCTTTATTGTCTGCTGGGACAGAACCTACCAGAACTGTGCCAAGAAACCCAGCAGCATCTTCTGCTCCTGGTGACAGCTTGAACTTGGAAAAAACAGGCGTAATTGGCTCCAGGAATGCGGATGATCAGTCATGTTTTGTCACATGGCAAAGTACAAATGTTGAACTAATCCCTTTGGAGATTCGCATGCAGATTATAGAAAAAGAAAGAAGAAGAAAAGAGCTGTTTCGGAAGAAGAACTACGCTGCTACAGTCATACAGAGGACGTGGAGAAGGTAAGCCTGCTGTTTCAGTAGCCACAGAAGAGTGAGATACAAGTATTTGTAAATTAGATTTGTTGGCAATGTGCTTTATTTGGTCTTTTGCTTGAGGGGTGACCTCATTAATGTTTATGAATTTGTAAAGGGTGAGTCTCAGGAGAATGGAGCCAGGCTCTTCCCAGTGATATCCAGTCACAGGACAAGGGGCAACGGGTGCAAGCTGGAGCATAGGAGGTTCAATCTGAACATGAGGAAAAACTTTTTTACTGTGAGGGTGACAGAGCACTGGACCAGGCTGCCCAGAGAGGTTGTGGAGTCTCCTTCTCTGGAGGTAATCAAACCCTGCCTGGACGCGTTCCTGTGTGACCTGGTCTGGGTGATCCTGCTCTGGCAGGGGGGTTGGACTGGGTGATCTTTCGAGGTCCCTTCCAACTCCTAATAGTCTGTGATTCTGTGATTACTGGTGTTAAATCAGGAATTTAATAATCTTTCACCAAACACATGGAAGTGGATTCCAGCCACCCAGAATCACATGAGAAAGTTCATAAAAAGTGCACGGTAAGTGGTGACTTGTAATAATTGGAGAATTCATTAACCTTCTGTTTCAAGCACTGAAATTTCTTTAGAGAGTGAGGACCAAGATTTGCCTAAGCCTGGAGTTCACTGCTGTCATGGTCATTAGCAAACTTGCACATGTAGGGATACAGGGTTTTTCCTGAGAAGGTTTTTTTTAACCAGATCCTTCACCACCATTTACTGACACACTTGACATTGTGTTCTGACCTGACTTTTATTTAACTGGATAACCAAACCACGAGAGGTTTGGAAGCTTTAGAAGTTCATTGCCAAAATTTGAATATAACTTGAATAACTTGATTGAGCAGGAACCACTGCTGTACAGAAGAAGCTGAGAGGAGAGAGATGTGCCAGTGTTTGCTTTCCACAGCATTATCTGACTTCCATGAATGCATGAGTTACAAGCTCAGAAACACTGTCATTCTTGATGGACGTGCTCCTTAATATTTAATTTCTTATCAAAATTAAAAGGAAGAGTATGGCAGCTCTAAGTGAAGCAGATAATATGTACATAATTCTTATTTATTCTTACTCTATTTTTATGGACGTTTTCTTGTCATAGCTTTCAGTCAAGGAGTAAACACGTGTAGTACTTGTGCAAATTTCCTCACGAGAACTGGGATCTAAAGCCTTGTGTCGAGGTAGCTTACCTAGGTGGAAATCTTTGTGTTCTGTTCAAAGTTTTGACTAGCTACAGATTTTGGATAGATCTTTCTAAACCGTCCACCTGCTGCAACACCAACGGTGTGTTATCTCTGCAGTATACTTACACCGCTTCTGCAACTGTGAGGATTAAAGATTGTGTAAATGACATTTCTTATTTAAAAATTTGCAAAAGAAAAATCAGTATATTTGTTCTGTTTGCAAAACTTTTATAGAACACCACCGAGGATCATAAATGCTTCAAGACTTCAGGAGAGTTTACTTTGGCAGTTCCTCCTCTGTCATTTTGTTATGTCTGTGGACAGTTTGCTGTTAGCAGAGCTCTGATGGAGTTCATAAAGTTTGCAGCAATAATAGTGCATTTATTTCAGCGAATCGCAGAATCACAGAACGTTAGGGACTGGAAGGGACCTCAAAAGATCATCCAGTCCAATCCCCCTGCTGGAGCAGGATCACCTAGATGAGGTTACACAGGAATGTTTTGATGCAGCCCACAGAGCAGTTCACTGGGCAGCGATGCTGAGGTGAGAGCCCTGCACTGTTAGAAAGAGCTGTGCTTCCCTCCTGCACTCCCTCCCCTAGGCCCACTGCTTCTGCTGCCTTTTCTGCTCACGCTTCAAGGTCAATGGGAGCTTCATCGTCTGAGTGTTTTGAAACGGAGATGCTGTGAAATTGGACCGGATTTCCTCCTCCCAATTTCCATGCTATTACCACAGCAGTAATGTTTATTTTTAAAAAGTAGAGTTCTGACTCCTCCTTCGAAGCAGAGCTCGTATGTATCTCAAAAAAGAGAGGTAGTGTGGGTATTTTGGGATCCCAAGTCAGATGGCGGCACCTGCCTGTCAAGAAGTCATGGTCAGCACTTCCAGCTAGCTCACACTAGGCAGCTGTATGTGCTGACTCCTAATATGTCAGCTATTCTGACACTCTCTCTGAAATACTTAATTTCCCATCCACTGTACCCCAAATTACAGTTCTTAAGCAGGTACCTGCTGTGTGGCTGTGGGTCCCTCTCAGTCCTGCGTTTGTCCTTTGGGTCCAGGCTTGCAGTGGTAAATGGCGTGTACTTGTAGACAGCAGTGGAATTATACATTGTTAATGTATATTATTCTACATCAGAAACATCTAGAAGTACATGCTTGAGTTCTGGCATTTCTCTAAATTAGGATTAAATACATTTTTCTCACTCTGCAGATTTTATAGTTGTGGTTTACTGTTTGCAAGTTTATTGAGAGCTCTTGTGAGCTACACCACAATGGCCCTGGTCTACTTAAGCACGTTAAACTTGCCTTTCTCAGGAAAATGTTTCAATTCCCACAGTCCACAAACTTGATGAATGTCGTCCTCCAGAGGGTGCTTTAAGGTGCGTGGCTTGCCAAAGGTTAATTGCTCATCCTGGTCGCTGAGGCTTACAGATCCTGTGTCTGGCTCTGCTCTCATGGGGGACACTGAGGCCTGTGCCGTTCTCCAGGGTGCACAGTGAGTTGACAGAAGCTGGAAATAAGTTGGTTGCTGTCACTCTTGCTCTCAAGAGTGACAAGCTGTGGTTTTTTTTATGTATTATTTCTCTCTGCATACTTTGACCAGCAGTAGTTTTTAAGACTAGAGCTTCAGTAACAACGAGCCTGGATACCACTTGCCAGCTTTGTCATTTGCACATCTAGTCCACGTTTCTTTTTGGTGCGGTAGTTCTGTTGACTAAGCATTGGGTAGCATGAGGTTCAGAGCATCAAACTTGGCCCCATTCTCCTGTTTTCTCACTAGGATGAGAAGGAGCTGTTGCAGGAGAGCTGAATTTAAAAATGGGCACGCGTGCTAAGGATAACTGCCTACGTCTTCCCACTGTCAGAGCCTCTCGGATGCTTTCTGGTTGCTAAAAGCTACCAGCGGTTCTCTAAGAACATGAAATCCCAGCTGGGTGCAAAGGTGCAGTGCCTGTGAAGGGGTCAGTTCAGGTATATGAGGAGGGTGCTGGCAGTGATTACTGAATTCTGAGAGAACAGCTTAATATTTTGTTCTGCTCAAGGATGACACAGTTCCCAATTGCTTTTCCTGCAGCGCTGTCCACATAACCCATCCTTAGCTCACGTTATGTCAGCAAGTCCCTGTCCTTGTGCCCCTGCCTTCACCTTCTCTTCCTCTTGTACCCTGTTGCAAAGTTGTGCGTGCCCTGGTATTTAACAAAACTGTATCTTTTGGTTTTCTCCTTCTGTGTCTGAATAAAGCCCCTGCTCTGGCTTCACACAGTGCTGGGCGCCTTGCAGGCATGACGGACATTTACTGGGAAGGTGCAGTCACTCCCCACTCTTCTTAGGTACTTTAATGAGCTGTGTAACAGCACGTGCCTGAATCCTGGAGCTCCACTACATTGATGTTAAATATGTTTGTCTCGCCTGGCAAATCCCACACTTACTTACTGAAAGTTTAAAGTTATTGGGGCTGTAACTGAGTATATCATCCCCCTTTGGCATTCTGTTGTGCTTTTATGTGCTCATTTTCTAGATACAGCTGCTCTTTTGTTTGAATCATATAGTTCATTGGCTTGTAACTCATATTTAAACAATTTATATCTGGTTGTGTTGTCTTTTGTTTTAATTTAGAACTTGTTGCAGATGGAGCAACAGAACAAAATCACCTTTGTCTCCCTCCCTCCTCATCCCCTCTACTGGGGTGTCCAGGAGAAGCCTTTTTGAGTGCTGGAGGGGATGATGATCCGTGTGTTTTGGCTCATTACCAAACACCTATAATTAATATTTTACAAGTGTTCCTCAGTGTTCATTTGTGACAGGTTTGTACTGGGAAGGTTCGGAGTTAATTGCTAGGCCAGTTATAATAATTGTCTGGTGAGTGTGAAATGCCAATATCTGAGTGAATACTTACTTGTGTCTGATTCAAGAAAATAGAAAGCAAGCAACTGCTTGTAGCTGGTGCCACCAAAGTGGAGAGAAGGATAGAAAATCTGCTGCGGCCACTTGGAATGGGGCAGTGACTGCGCGTAAGGTCAAAGCAGCCGTGGCAAGGTTGGGTTGGGAGATGGGGAGCCCTTGAAGGGAAGGGAAGGGGAAAAAAGCAAGAAGAGATGGAAACAAGGTGAGGGGAGCATCTTCAGAGGAGGGACAGAAAGCAGCTCAGTTTTCTGTAGAGGAAACGTGCAGTTGAACGTGTAAGAGGTGGATTTGGCTCGACTCTTGCACTGATTGACCGAGAATGCAAAGAGCTAAGGCACATGGGGAAATGTGGTGGTACTAAGCTGTGAATACAGTGAAGATGAGAACACACTATTGGTTATACTGTCACATCATAAATACTATTTACAGGTTCTATCTCCTTCAGGTTTTCTGTGTATTACAAAGCTGCTGTTGCAGCACTGTAACTTCTGGTACCTGTGACGCCAACTCTTTACCAGCTGCGTGAAATAACGGATGCGTCCAGAACTGAACCCAGCTCCTGCTTTTTCTTCTGAGCAAACATTTCTCATCCAAATGACTTAGCACATCAGTGGGAGTTGTGTGTTCCCAGTTACTCATGTAATCCACCATGTGAACTGATGCATGGAAAGCACTGAAGTTAAAACAGGTCACCTAAAACAAGCGCTCTTCTCTTTTCTGCTCTCTAGTTACCAGCTCAGACAGGAGTTGTTTCGGCTTCTTCGTGCCAAGCGGCAGTGCAAAGAAGACGAAGACAAATGGAGACAAGAGGCAGCTGCCTTCTTCATTCGGGTTGCTTGGAAGAAACAGCTGAACCATGGCCCTCTGAAGTCAGGTCCTTCATGTAAAAACCTGAAATCTGTAAACAAAACCAGCTCAGCCATAAAAACCAGCAAGCAGTCCATCCTTAAGCAGATATATGGTAACTTTGTTTTCACTATATTTTAAATAGCTACACTTCTGTTTTTATAAGAGTGTTCCCTGTATGTTGAATTCTTTTATACACCCCTATTTGTTAGGGATTTCAGCTATTCATAAAACATAGTCTGAATGCCAGGTCTTCTGGGTAATTGTTTTTCTGTTTCGGGTTAAATAATAAATGCCACTGTGATTTAAAATGGGTGCTTCTGAAGCTGTTTGAGTCACCACACAGCATCATTGCAGCACAGGTCTTGAGCTGCCAAATAATTCTGTGCACATACATCAGTGTGGGGAGAGACCAGAGCAGTTAAGCTGGGGATGCTGGCTGTATCGCTAGCCAGTGACCATCACCTGGGTCATGGCTTACAGTTTAAGCATTGTTTTAAACCTTTTTGGTTTTGTATTGGGGTTTTTTTTTTAGTATTTCTATTTGAAGAATGTGGTCTTGTTCCACATTAATAACTTTAAATTGTTTGAAGCCAGCTGGTCTTTATTGGAAGAGCAAGATCATCTTTTATGGCAACACTGCTTTGCGCTGTGCCTGAATGTGCAGCTGCAAAGAGCTGTGTCTTGAAGAAAGGGCAGAGGAATTGCTTTTAAACCTTGAGTTCCTTTATAGTGGGGATCACTGATAGACTAATCACTTCCATCATGGCTCTGCAGATAGCCAAAACATTAAAAAGTAAATAAAATTAATAATTCCTTCTTTTTTTTATAACAACTGCCAGACAGTTCAGTTGTGGTTGTCACAATTTTCTGTCATACAGAACTTCTCCTGAGTTTCCTCATAACATATGAGAATAGTTTGTAGGGTAAAGTAATGCTGCAACCTAGTTAAGCAGTTTATAGCTATACATATCCATACACACACACACACAAAACTGTACCTTTCTATGAATAAACACAGAGCTGTTCATATTGTTTCTTGAAGGACGTTCTCAAGAAGGCAAAGTGCATCAGCCAGCAAGACCGTCTTCTAAGCTGAAACTTTCTGATGTGCAGCTGGCCTCAGGTAGGACACACGCTCTTTAAGTATACTTTAATATTTATATATACATGAGATTGGTTTTGTCATAGAAAACAAAGAAACAAATCTGCCGAAGAACTGGGATTTCATATCAAAACACGTAACTGCTACCAAAGTCTTGTGATTGCACACTCTTTTTTTCACTACTTTTGGACTTATTCAAGCTCTCTACTTATGGTGAATCACTGACATGAAACCCTGTCTGTATTGGTCTATTAATAGGGAATACCTTAATGCCATGGACTTGCATGGTGCTAACCCAGGTAATGTTCACCTGTGGTTAAAAGCACTTCCAGATGCTCATACTTTGGTTCAGGAGAACAAGTATTTACTACTTGTAAATAGAAGAGAGGGGATTTCTACATGTGCCAAGAATTTACACACCTGTTTGGTAGAAATACATGGTTTAGTGCATAGAGAGAAACCTGAAAAAGCTCATCTGCTGTCTGCCCTTTCTTCTCAGATGGCATAACGGGGTTCTTGCGCTGTGCAGAGCCTCAATTATTTCATATAAATTCACTTACTTGCAGTAAGTTTTAAGGCTCTAAAGAAATTATGCATTTATTTGCTGCAACCGAAATTTCATGGATGGAGCTGGTTATTGGGGCAGTAGGGTTGGCACCATCAGGACTGTCAAACCGTGCAGGCAGCCAGATGGGCCTACACTGTGTAATACAGAGCAGCACTGAAGGACGCAGAATGTGAAAGCATTATCAAAGTCCTTGAAGGCTGGAACTTTCATGCATGTAGCATTATTTGACAGCTAACTTAAAAATGAAGTTAAGAGTACATGGTCATCGCTTCTACTTCTTCTTTACTAAATGCTATTTTTAAGCCTTTTTCAAGTGTATTTATGCACTGACTCGGGGCTGGGAGCTAAGGTGATGTTAGCCCTTCACCACATGAAGGTTTAGCGCCTTACTGGACATTTGGTCTTCATGGTTGTATCAGATACCTGGCCAGAGGCAAGCCCCTGCTGGACAGCAACAAGGCAAATGCTTCAACGAGACAGCAGTTCAGGTAATTTGCAAAGGGAAAGAAAATACATCTTCCAACAAGTAGTTTAACAAGACTCTGACGTCCAAAGGAAGTCTGCCAGTGGACCTGTCCTGGAGGTTGTTCGTGCTGTAGCTGAGTGTGCGCCTCACCAACAGACAGGCTTTTTTTCTTCCACTATTTGAACTGTTTTAATTAGAAAGAGGCCAGAGCGGACAGGTGTTTGATTGCCACTGCTTCATGCAGACATTCATCTCACTTTTTTTAAAAGAGCCTTAGCAAATAAGGCTTCTTTTCGTTTAACTTTTCAGCACAACACATCTCCCTGTCTGCTGAAATAAAAAGGCTTTCTTTTCAGGTTTGAGTGTCCTTTGCTTTCATAACATGGTGACGACTGGGATGGTGATAGGAGCTCTGCCCAGTTCCTTGAGAACACTGCCTACTTTTATTCACCTGCTAGCAGCTCGGGGAACTTTAGCCCTTTCTTAAGGACAATGCCATGTTTTTCATCTGCCTGCCTTTGTGCGTGACAACACTGCGGTTGTTGGATAAGTTCAGAGCTGTCAGTGGTTAATACCAGCTACTCCAGTCCTGACATGGGTCAGCCCAAACCAGTCACTTGGATTGGGCTCCTGCGGAAGGCACAGCTGGGAAGGTGAAGCCTGACCATCAGCCCTAACACTCATAGGCAGTGGGAAAAGCAAGCAGTGACAAATCTGTAACAGGAGCCTGACACCAAACCCCGTTAATTCACTGGCACAAGCGAACCACACACTTCGGAGTGGGACACACAGAGGGAGTGAAAAGGAACGTACAAGTAAGTGAGAGGGCAGAGGATGACGCACAGAAAAGGAGCGCGCAGTGGGACATACAGACAGTGGGTAGGTGCTTCCAAGTATTCTGGCAAATAGGGCCCTTACGATGGTTATGGTTAAAACAACTTGGAACAGAAAGTTGGTCCTTTTTCGTATTTTCTTTTATTTAAATAGATGGCTTTTGTCAATTCAATAAATGGCATTTGAAGAGGCTCTGCAGCAGGTCAGACAGATAAGCCCCTTTTTACTTTCCCTGTGGACATTAAAATGTGTTTACAGAATTGTAAAAAGGAGGAGGTTTTGCAGTCCTTGGCACTAGAAAGGCATCCTCAAGATGGGGTGGTTTCTCCCCCTCAATGAAATGTTCAGATTTGCACTTGGGAGGACCCTGGCTCGCATGGGGTAAAGCAATGAAATGTGTGCATCCAATTTCTGCAAAACTAAGGAAAGGAAAACACAGATATTGCTTGTAGCATATTGCAGTAAACAAAAACATTGAGTAAGTCCAGTCAGCCTGACCCACAACTGAAGAGCAAGGTCTGCTGACGTTCACTTTTGCTTTCTAGTAATCCAGAGAGCACTGGCTTTAGCCCTGGCCCAGCTTCCCCCGCCTTCTAGAAATGACCCTGTACCTAAAGTTACTAAATGCTGCTCTTCAGCAACCAGCCTGGACAACTTCATTTGTTTAGGAGGGTAAGGCTCAAATTAAAAGGAAAAAGCCATGTTCTTTTCCTCACAGACTCCTTGGTTGTGGATCCAGTGTAGATCAAACTTCTTTTTAACCGCTGGAGTTACTCACCAAAACCATTTTCTTCTTTTCCAGTAAACAACCTACAGTGCGTTAATTTGCTGGAGAACATGGGAAAATCAAAGCAATTTTCGTACAACATGAGACCAACCACTGCTGCAAAGTCAAAAAACACGGGAGTCAAGCACTAAGCAGAACTGAACGTCTGGAACGTAAAGACCACATTCCAGTACAACTCTTCTCTTTCTTGCTGTACAAGCCATCTACAACATGTTAAACCTGAGCACATTTGCAATTTGGTATTATCTCAGCCTTCCTCGCCGAGCAGCCTTCTAAGGAGCTGGACTTTATTTTGTGTACAAATTAGTTTTTAAACGCAACTGTTAATTTATTTACTGACAGGATGAAACCCGCATTGCATTTGGAAACAGAAAAGGAGGTGCTAAGCCCAGCATCACAACCGAGTTGTAGGGGCTCCCAAAGTTTTCCGCTGTCAAAAGCAGGAATTTGGAATCTGTTCATCAAAGGCAGTTTCAGAGGAGAAAGAAATGGTACTAAAGATGTAGCGACTGCAGAAGCCTGCTGTTTGGTTTCACCACAAGTTATTTCAGTGTATTTCAAAATCTAAAAAATAATGTAAAAACAGCCTTCGTGCTCCATTCTGTACTGCAGAAACAGTTGTTTCTCAGCTGGCTACGGATTTGGAAGGAAAAGCAGAAATGTTGACAAGAAACACCCAGCAAGTGAACTGCTTTCTGCAGCCCACGGAAATGTAAAAGTGTGTTTTCTACCCTTTGAGTATTACCTCTTTTTTCCATATTAATACCTATTTTTATACATGCACAAGAGTTTCTACAGAAAGCAAGAAAAGATGGGACCTGTTTTAGAAGAAAACTTGTTCTTATGATAGCTTTGCAGCTGCCAGTGCACAGTATTGACCTTGCACAAAGTATGTAAAAATATGAACTCAGCAAAAATAAAAATGCTACTCTAGTTTCAAAGTGTATTGTTTTCTGGGTTTTATATTACGTAATTCTAGTTTTTTTAATTAACGTGATGCTCTGAAATACTAGATCATTGGAGTCAATACAAGTGTTTCTGTCCAAGCACTTAAGCTTCAAGGAGCCCGGATTCTCTTTAACACCCTTCGCTGTGGTCACGCCACATCTACTGAAACAACTTCCAGTGCTGCTGACTGGCGTGAAAAGAAAGGCAGCAGAGGTCTGCAGTTCTCTGTAAAATTTTATTCTGTTTCACTTACAAAAAAATTGACAAGCTTTGTTCCAACATCTTCCATTCAAAACTAAATAGAAGTAAATGCTTTACAATAAATGCAGTTTGACCTCTTTAATACACCGCGTTGACAGGGCCAGGTCCCTGGGGATGAGAGGCAAGGTAGATGTTGAAACAGTAATGGAGGTCTGTTAGCCACTGCTCTTGAACTTCACCGCTCTTCAGTGTCTAAAAAGAAGGGGAGGGGAAGAAAAAAAGGTGGTAAAACTCAATTTCAGCAACAGCACTTGCAAAGCTTCGCTTTGTTTTTACAGTTAATCAGGTGCGCTGTTCAAGGCACAAGATGGCCTTGTTCACCTGCACACAGTGACATTATTCTTCTCGTTCATCCAATTCAACACGGTGTGCTCCGGTAAAGCTGAAATAATAAAGCGTTACTGCTTGGTACAGTCGGTGTTCCACTGTGCAGCGTGTGAAGAACACCACATGCGATTTCCTTGCTCTTCATTACAGCGGCTCCCTCACTTTCCACTTCTGCAACTGATAGTCCATTAAAACGCAAACGAGCGTGGTTCTACCAAAGCAGAGAGCTCAGTACCTCAAGTCTACAGGAGAACTCTACCAACAGGGCCCAAGCCCAGTAATTCACTCTCCTCAGCATTCATAAGGGATTAAAAAACCAAACCAACCAACCAACACAACCCACCTGCAGAGGAACATCACAAAATCAGGCGGAGGCATTTTCAGCACCAGAAGAAACCAACCCCTTAGTTCTGTTAGAAGGCCTGCACCATGCTCCCTTACAGCTGCTTTTGCCACCACTGATGTTATTCTTCAGGTGACAGACCTTTAAAAAGCTACTACCGGATACCCGTGCCTTACTCATTCAAACCTGTGTGCCATATAAGCTGTACTCAAAACCAGCACAAGCTTTGTGTGAAGGCAGTCTGGTTTTTTTCCTGAAGAGAGAAGCAACTGCAATAATCTCAAAAGCACTGGAACGCAGATGTGAGAGCAGAAGCACTGGGATTTGAAAAAGAATACATTTTGCATCAAAGATATTTAAGAGAGTTTGATTTGTGTGATTTGATAACACCTTCATACACCTACATACCCCTGCTCCGATAAACAAAGAACGTGTCTCTTATTTCGGGACAGCTCTCCCTTAGGCTGGGTAGGTAAAGCCGCTCCCTTAGGAAGCCAACTGTTGTCCAGGGCCCTGCACTGGGTGTGAGCTGAACTTCAAAACGGTCTCATCTGTGCAGTGACCACAGGAGCCCAGAGCAGCAGCAGCCGCCTTCTACACCGCCTGGACTTCCAAGACAAATAAAAGGCAGCCATAACTTGGGTCTTGCTAAACATCCGTTCTTCAGGGGTTTATGACTTTTAACCATAAACATGCAATAGATCCTTGTAGTCTCTGGGAAACAACCACAAGTTTCTTACCATGATGTCCTTGATAATCTGTTGCACCAGAAATTCGTTTGTGATCATATGGCTCCTGAGCTGACCGTGCTGCATCAGTAAGCGCAGCAACTGGGCAACAACGGGCAGCTCATCCCGACAGATCCTGCTCACTTGCAGACTCTGCAGCATCAGCCTCAGTAAGCGTGGCAGGAGTGCTAACGCCGAAATACACGATCCCCACAGCATATCCCTGAGAGGAAGAGAGATCACAGATTGAAGTGATCAAGGACCTGTGTTTCAGGTGTGCTTCTGTGACTCAGCCTCGTATCTGTACAAGGACACATGCATCTGTGAATGTAGTTGCACCAACTGCCTTCACTTTCACTAGTGCCGAAGCCAAAAATTCATACCAGAAAACGCTAAACTTGAAAATATTTTAAAATTTTGTACACCACTGGAAAATACATAAGGTCCTACCCTGGAGCTACCAATGTTTCTGAAGTTCTAACACAGTTTAATTTCTGCTTGCTGCCGCTGGGAAGAGGTTTTTCTTTCCGTCACTGTTCAGGTACACCTGAATTTTTATTTAAGGCTCATAGGAAACCACACAATGGAATCAGCTTTTTGTAATGTGCAAGTCATTAAATACAGTAAGTGAAGGAGGACTCCAGCTTTAAAAACACGTCTTAAATTTTAAGTAAGCTTTGGACATCTTTTCTAGTTATGAAACAGTTAGAGGAAAAATCTGGAGTTCAAACTGTTTGAAGACATTTTTGTTATACAGGTAAATAAACTTATTTAATCTGGTACCTGCAGCTTTTGTTTTTTTTTTCAAATCATATGGATTTGCTGTCTATAAAATGATGCCCGAGAAGTATTGTTAAAGCTGAAATATCAAGTCAGTTAAGAGTACAAGCTTACAAAGCCAAATCCTTTGCGGGTTGCTTTTCAATGTATCTAATGAAACTAGAGGCTAAAGCTCAAGATTAAGGTATCAATATCCATCTTTCTGAAGTCAGGGTGGTTCTGACATCTACACCTGTAGTAAGCAAGCTCTGAGGTGAAACCTTCTTCATTTATTGTTTTAAGTAATTCCAGCTAACTTTGCAGCTGTTTTTCTTAAATCCAAATACTGTTCTCAAGTAAGCAAAGTACAGCAAAATAAATTGTGTGGGATGGGGGTATGCATTTCACATCTCTAAATACTTGTGCGTATAAAGGCAGAGACGATGAACATGGCGAGAAAAGCAGCATTACCTTTTCTGTACATGTTCTGCATCCTCTTTGTCTAACGTGAGCAGGAAGTACAGGAGGCTGTAACAACATGAGGCCAGGAACTTGTGCAGGTTGTCACTTAGGATGCAAGCTTGATCCAAGAGCTTATTTATGGCACATAGAACAGATCCAGCTGTGCTGTCGGGTATTATAACCAACCCAACCTGCAGGACAACAAACAAACAGAAGGTTCATTACTTTGTATACCAAAGTTGTTTGCTGGTATACAAGCATGTCTAGGTCTGAATGAATCTTTCATATCATGACTTGTATTACTTTGCTTCTGTTGAAGTTCTACACGCTACCACATTCCTTCAAATCTCTACTTTTCCTAAGAAATTGCAACCCATAGCAACAGCAAGTTAAACCAACATCTTCATTCCACCCCCTCGAAAGAAAACATTCATCTCAAACATACTAAGAAAAACCAAACAAACAAATCCCCCACTGCTTTGAGCCTTGCTCTGAAAGATGGAACAGGTACAAACAACCTTTTGGACAGAACAGGTCTTTCCTTTTAAGCACATATCATGGGACAGAGCAGCCCTTCTGTGTCTTGAAACAGCAGTGAGCAGTCACTGAGGCAGAAGGAAACTCAGATTTACTCTGCAGAAAGAAAAGCTTCCACTGGATCATCACCAGGGGGAGTCCCCTTAGAAATCCTACAGGCTCAACAGGAATGAGAGCACTGCCAGCCAGGTTAAGTTAAAGCTAATGGAGCATGTGGTGGGCACACAGCTGGGGTCAAACTCTTCTGTTGTTAAAATGAGAACATCATATTCAGTAAGGATTTTATAGGCATGATAAATAACTTAGAAAGGAAAAAAAAAAATCTCTTTTTTGGGTAGAAGCAGTGAATTAGAAACCAGTTTCAATTTTGACGTGCTATTGAGTAACTACCCTAGATTTTTGTCCTGTAAAGCCATAAAAAAATTTCATGCATTGCTTATCTGGCACCATTTTTCTTATTAAAAAAAACTAATTTAAGGAGTTCGAGGGTAGCCTGATTTGCTCACCTGCATGTACATTGTTTTAAGATGACAGAGGCAGTTGGTTCACTGATTTTTAAAAAATGTTTAGAAAACGATCAATAAAGAAGTACAAGCTGCAGCAATAGGGACTGTATTTCACTGGTATGACTACTCATGAGGGGTGAAAGATAAAGAAGAATGATGGGTTCAAACTTCTAAATACTTCCAAAACAAGATACTGGGTGCATTTCAAGGCCAAGAGGCCAGGTAAATCACTGTCCCAAGCTGACCTCGCACCAGCCGGT